GTACCCCATATATAAATTGCTCCACAAATAATTTCATTGTTTAAAATGAGATAATAGGAATAAAGGTGAGATTACAACTAAATTGTTCTAAAGAAGTCATTTTATCAAAAAGGCACCTGTACTCTAACGTTTATGGCAGCACAATTCACAATTACAAAAATGTGGAATCAACTCAAGCATCCATTGACTCATGAGTGGATTCACTAAATATGTCTACCATGGACTACTACTCAGCCATAAAGAATGACGACTTAATGCCTTTTGCATTCCTTTTGCAGGAATTTGGACAGAACTAGAGACCATTATCCTAAATGAAGTATCTAAAGAATGGAAAAACGAACACCACACATACTTAACTGTTATATTAGAACTAACTGAAAAGCACACATGTGCTTAGAGGGAAGTAAAACTTAATGAAAGTCAAGTGGGAGTATGGGGGAGAGTGGAGGAGAGGATGAGTGAAAACCTACCTAACAGGTACAATGAATACGATCTGGGTGACCCACACACTTAGAACCATGACTTTGGCATTATAAAAGTGATCCTTGCAACCAAAAATATTTGTGTCCCTGTCATACTTTGAAATTTTAAAAAGAGTTACATAAAAATAAGTAAGTAAATAAATAGTCCTAAAGGTTGAAATTGGTCTAATGCATCAGGCTTTCTGCAGAATGTATTTTAAATTGCATGTTTGGAAGGCAGCAATGAAGAGTTTTCATGGGCTTTAGAGTTTGACATCCCTGGGCTGGAGTACAAATTGTAAGACCTCACACAAGTTACTTAACCTCCCCAGGACTCAATTTCCCTGTTTGCAAAATGGGATAATGATCACTGCCTCAACAGAGTTGCTCAGAACCTTAAATGAGATAATAGACGGAAAGTTCCTGGCACAGAGTGGGCAAGCAGCCAAAGGCAGCTATAATTGTTTCAACTGAGATTTATCTCTTAATCTTCAAGCTTTTAAGGTTTATTTGTTGAAATTGGAAAATGTGGTCTCATTAAACCCATCAGTTGTAACATACTCCCACATAAGCGGCCAGAGATAAGGAATGTTCTGTATCCAGTTGGAGCCAGCTTGCAAATGTTCCTCCTAACCTTACACAAAGAGACCCTAACTGTGTTCTAATGGGGCAACCCTGGCACTTTTACACAATCCATCTCCTTTCATTATTTTTGTCGAGGCTCTGAGATCTATTCTTGGTCCTATTGGGTCCCACCCTCACCAAGTCTATTGGCAAATACTTAATTTGGCAATGAAATCAATCTCAACACAGACCAAGGGTCTGCTAAGAGAATCCTAGGGTTCAGCTGTATCGTACAGGGGATGTAAGAGTCTGAAGGAAACCTAGCATCACTTCCGACCGTCAACCCACCCTTTCTGAACATCCCACACTCTCCACCCTCTACTAGCACTATTTCATTGTTCCATCCATGAGGCCGCAATCCTGAGATGCAAAGTGCTTCATTGCCAAATTTGCATTGTTTACCTGAAGAAACTCTGGGTATTGGGGCTGTAACTAAGGGCAGAAAGGAGTCGGTAAAGTACCCTGACAAGTTGACGATAAACCCAACAGCAGCTGAAGGGCATCAGACTACTCACTTACTTCCAAGGATCAAGAGTCAAGGAGAAGCCTCAGAGGAGCCTCCTAGACACACTCTACATCAGGGAAGTAACACCTGCTCTCTAAGTCAGGGAAAATAGAGCAGGTTTTCCAGCCCCTGGCTTCATGGCCCATTCACTCTGGACAGCCCTGCATGCCGTTTCCATGGAGTTGCTCCTTCTCTGGGGCCAGTGATGCCAAATCCAGCAAAGGAGAAGTCCCCTGAAGAGCTCACAGAAGGGCAACCTAGCAACCTATCCTTGAGCCAGGAAATGAAAGAGCTATATCAGCGGCAGAGAGCTGTGGTTTGGGGGTTAGAGTAAATTATGTTTCATTTCTCACACTTCTTCCTCAACAAGAGTTGAAGGTGGAAGATGTTATGACAGACTTCATTTGAAAAATCTACAAAGCTACGGACTCAAAAACATACAGAGTCCACATTCTTTGCCTACAATTTCAGGAAGGACCCCAGGTAGGAATCTCTACTCTGGAATTACATTTCATGACAGATATGCTGAGGACAGATTACGGTGGTAGCAAGCCCATTTACCTGTAACCTTCAGCATGACATGGTGGTGTTTAGAACAGTGGTTCACAGACCTCTCTCATCTCAGAATCGACTAGAGTGCTGATTAAAAATATAAATCACACTCCTCATCCCTAGTCCTAGTCCATCAAAATGTCCCAGAAGTTGGGCCCAGGAATATGCATTTCTAACAAGCTCTCCAAAACGATTCCCAGGCAGCTAGCCTTGTACTCAGTCATTGCTTAGGAGCATAGGTTCTGATTCTGAGACTTGGTCCGAATTCCGCCTTCACCTTGTAATCTGAGGCAAGTCAATTTCATATTTTTGAACCTTGTCTCTTTTGGGGTCATAAAGGGCTGTAGAAACAATGTTGTTTTTATAAACAGGCAGCTTGTTGTAGTGTAAAAAGATAGCGCAAGAAAAGAAATGGTGTTTAGAAAAAAGTGCCACTGTTTCCTTTTCTGTACAATGGATATCATAGAGGTTGCCTTCCTCTTTCCTCACCCCTCTCCCCACTGGTGCCTCACTCCATCCCTCAGCACTATCATTACATCAAGGTTGCTATTGAGATGGCTTGAGACAACCTCTGTAAAAATGTTCTCTAGGCAGGGCAGCAGAGAAAAGAGCCTCCAGAGAATAACAGACAGGTACAAAGTCAGATACTGTTGCTTATTTGCTACATGCACAGAGCAAGAGGCCTACCGCTCTGTGGCTCAGTTTCCTCATCTGTAAAATGGTGATAATAGTCCTTGCTCACTAATTCTATATAGGCTCAAGCTGGTCCTCCCACGCCCGCTTTGGCTTTTCTCCACTTAATCTGACTTTTATAGATAGTTTGCAAGAGGTAGCCTTTGAGTCAGACATGTTGACTTGGGTGTGAGCTTTTCTTAGCTCTACACTTCCTAACTATATTGCCTGGTGCTTAAGTCCTTTCACTGTTTAATGGGCACTCTGAGACGTCCTTCACAAGACTACTTAGAAGAATAAATGAGATGTCTGTGCGAGAGCATCTGAGCATGGAAAGCACTCGGTAAATGCTGTTTTCCCCCTTCCCCCTATACAAAGGTGAAGAACTCTCATTGTTCACATGGTTTCTGTCCCACCTCGTGTTTAAGGCATCCGGTCTCAAAGCGCAGAGGAAAGCCGAGGCGGAAGGAGATAGGAAGAAGGCAAGCGATGGAGAAGCAGCAAACTCACGGGTGAAATGTAAATAGGCCAGTCAGTACGTCCGAGCTGCACCGGCTCCCGCGCCTGTCTGTCGCAGCCCCCGCTGGCCGGCCCTCCCTTCTCCCCAGCTTTAGCATCTCGGCCGGAGGCAGCGCGGGAGGCCGCCCCCGCGCCGGGCTGATTGGCCGCAACGCCCCGCTCGTCAAGCTCTTTTGTCTCAATGGGCAGAAGCTAAACGCAGCCGCAGCCGCTGGGAAGGCCCAACTGGAGGGCGGGGACTGCTGCGGCTGCCTTGGGAACCGCGCCGCCTGGACGCGGCTACCCCTCGCTGGGCGGTCTCGGGAAGCCGCTGGGTGGGTTGGGCAGCCCCGGGTCGCTTAGCGACCGAGGAGGCGACCGCCATCCTTTCCCCTTGCAGGGCCGCGGACACCGGAAGGCGAAACAGAGCTGCAGACGCCAGACCATCTTCTGCCCACCAGCACAGCACAGGTACAGAAAGGGGGAGCGGACAGGGGAGGGAGAAGCCCCACAGGCACCGAGCGACTCCCAGATTGGAGAATTGGTGACCGCGAAGCACAGAGAAAGGAGCGCTTCGGTGGCCCTGCTGTGCCAAAGGAGGAGGTGAGGCTCACCTGAATGCTGCCCACTGAGTGAGATTTGCCTGAATTGGGGGCGGGGGCGCGTTTCCAGGGAGGTAGCAAGGGGCGGGAGGTCTTGAACCCCTTTTTGCATCTCCTCATCTCTCCTGGGAATATGGAAGCGGGAGGGTATCCGACTTCTATTCCCTTTCTCCCTGGCAGGTCATCAAAGCTGAATCCGAACTTGAATTCTGTACAGCTGATTGCAGAGCTTGGTAGGCCGACGGTTTCCCATAGGAAATGTAAAGAGGGGCGCTTTGGTTCATAGTCAGAAGGGGGCAGAGGAAATTTTCTGCCTGGGGACAATGAAGACGGGGGTGGGGGGGAAGATTAGCAGGATGACGAATGAGGCTGCTTCTGACCCTTCCTTTCCCTTCCCTGTGCTGCAGAGGCACAGTCTTCAACCCCTGATGACAGGGATCTGCGACCCCCACGGGACAGAGGTTGACCTATCCCGGAGGCGAGTTTTCTCACAAAGCGCACCTGTTGCAGAGGCTGGAAGTGAAATAAAGGCTGAAGGCTAGTTTCCGAGCTCATGTAAGAATCGAGAAATAACCTGAAAAATAAGGAGGGAAACTTTGACGAGGTGTGGTTCAGACCTGAAGTTAATGAGGATCTTATCTATTACCAAAAATCTGTGAAACTTACACCATTGAGCTCTGTTTTGAGAGCCCAATATTGGCTCTAAACACTATGTCACCTAGAATTATAATTATGACTCCTCCTGTAGTATGGTAAGGAGGATATGGATGTGGCTCTGAAAAATGCCCTGCTAGCACAGGGATACCAGCTAGCAAGGGGAGGCTGTAATTGTCAGTCTTCTGCAGGGTATATTTAGGGCAGTGGGCAGATACAAATCCACTGCAGGGTATTCAGGAAGGTAGAGAGTGTGACTGTGGACTGCCTATCCATAGCCTGCCTTATTAACCTTTTTCTGTTTCTTTACAGTTCCTACTGAAATTCAAGGCAAGCACAGCCTAGAACATTACTTTGAGGATTTCTGCAGATCAGAGTTTTCTAAAAAGCCTGAACATCTTGTTTTATTTAGATATTCTACTGTACTCAGTCATGGCTAGCATCATTGCACGACTGGGTAACAGCCGACGGCAGAACACACCCTTGCCTCCTTGGGCCCATTCCATGTTGAGGTCACTGGGAAGGAGTCTCAGTCCTCTAATGGTCAACATGGCAGAGAGAAACATGAAGTTGTTCTCAGGGAGAGTAGTGCCAGCCCAGGGGGAAGAGACCTTTGAAAACTGGCTGATCCAAGTCAATGGGGTCCTGCCAGATTGGAATATGTCTGAGGAGGAGAAGCTTAAGCGCTTGATGAAAACCCTCAGGGGCCCTGCCCGGGAGGTCATGCGTTTGCTTCAGGCAGCCAACCCCAACTTAAGTGTGGCAGATTTCTTGAGGGCCATGAAATTGGTGTTTGGGGAGTCTGAATGCAGTGTGACTGCCCATGGTAAATTTTTTAACACCCTACAGGCTCAAGGGGAGAAAGCCTCCCTTTATGTGATCCGTTTAGAGGTGCAGCTCCAGAATGCTATTCAGGCAGGCATCCTAGCTGAGAAAGATGCCAACCAGACCCGCCTGCAGCAGCTCCTTTTAGGGGCTGAGCTGAATAGGGACCTGCGCTTCAGGCTTCAGCATCTTCTCAGAATGTATGCAAATGAGCAGGAGCACCTTCCTAATTTCCTAGAGTTAATCAAGATGATAAGGGAGGAAGAGGATTGGGATGACACTTTTATTAAACCAAAGCGGCCCAAAAGGTCTGAACCAATAATGGAGAGGGCAACCAGCCCTGTAGCATTTCAGGGGCCCCAGCCAATAGCAATTGCCTGTGCTGACTGCAACTGTAATGTGATAGAGATAGATGATACCCTCGATGATTCAGATGAGGATGTGATCTTGGTGGAGTCTCAGGACCCTCCACTGGCATCCCCAGGTGCCTCTCCCCTCACAGAGAGAACCAGACCTTATGATCAAGTGCTGATTATTGATTCCTCCAATGATTCTGGGGCTCAGTTTCCTTCCACCAGTGGTGGTTCTGTGTATAAAAATGGTCATCCTGGTGATATGCGTAGAGCCAGGAAGCGAAAATACACTATCCACTGTTCATACTGTGGTGAAGAGGGCCACTCAAAAGAAACCTGTGACAATGAGAACAAGGCCCAGGTTTTTGAGAATCTGATCATCACCCTGCAGGAGCTGACACATACAGAGGGGAGATCAAAAGAGGTTCCTAGAGGACACCATGACCTCTCTGAGGCACAGTAAGGTGCTGGAACCACCCTTAAATGAACCCTTAACTATATTCAGAGTCTGGGAATGGGAAAAAATGGGGATGGGTTGGGGATGGGGCTCTAACTGCATGAATTAATCCACAAAGCAGTTCTCCTTTGAGAAGAGGTCTAACATATAAGCAGTGTAGGGGGTAGCCTGACCTCTGTCTCTGCTCCTTCCTCAACCCACCTAAGTGTCTATTCTCTATGTGTGTTTATTGGTTTATTCTTTTTCTGAAAGGAGTATCTTTTGTTAAATCTTAAAAAAATATAGAGGAAAATACAAAAATTAAAGTACAAATTACCTGAACTCCCCACCCTTCTGTAACCATTGTGAGGCCTTTGCTGAACGTCCTTCCAGACAGTTCCCTGTACCTGTGTGTGCCCAGATAGCTGTGTATGTATAGATAAAAGTGATCAAATGTAAGTGCTGTTCTAACTGTGTATTTTTTCACTGAACAATATATCTTGTGGACTTCTATGTCAATGAATATATATATCTAATTTAATACCTGTGTGTAATGTTATTCTCAAAGGGAAAATAAATAAAACTTAATCTAAAAGCTATAAGGTGGGGTCATACTGTGTGGCGGGGTTTTTATCAACCTCATTATAGAAAAAGAGGAGGGAAGCTGAAATGGACTATGTATCTCCTGAAGAGTCCCCACCACGACTGATGTGTCCCCCTAGGTTTTAGAGCCCACCTCTGCACTCACTAGTTAATAATGTCCCAATGTTTTTTCTCGAATGTATCCTGAGAAGTGTGATCACGGGGGGCGGGGGGCAAATACAGAAAATGGGTATCCCGGAGACTCTATTCCTGTTCACTTTAGGAAGAGGCACTAGCTCCTGTCTCTTCCCTTGACCTCAGATTGGAGAGTGACAAAAGATGATATGTAACTTCCATCTGTGACGGTCCTATGTTCCTGGTGGGCACAGCAATCCCTATTCCCCTGAACAGGACAAGAAGTGGGGCAGTTTCATTTCAGGGGAAGAGTGGAGTGAAATGAATACAAACCTGATGACCTGAGGGAGTTTGTCAGGAAGGGAATAGGGTCTCCCTGGGCTGACAAGACAGTGTGCAGCAATAGGAGCTGGTACCTCAGGAAGAGGAAGCACAGAGCTCTGTGGCTAGTGGAGCAGGGTTGAGGGGTCGATGGTCAGGCTGGAGGATTCAGCTTTATGTTGGTGGGGACAGGAAGACTAGTAGGAATTGCAGACCACCTGGTTTCACATGGAACCCTAGGCCATGAGGGAAGGGGATGGTGTTGAGACTAATTAGGCTAACAGTCAGTGGCCCTCTCAACAGGGACAAAGGGGTGCAGGCTGAAGCCCTGAGGAAGTAGATGCCTAATGCAGCTTTCCCTGGGTTGCTGCACACCAGAAGCTGCCTGAAAGTGATTCTCCTTCCAGAGTTGTCCCTTTTAGCTCTGCTCCTCCTTGCCCTTTACTCCTGTTGCATCCATGTCCTCACATGTTCACCTTACCACTGCCCCTTCCCCTGGAGCCACACTCACTTCTTGCTGGGTAGAATTCAGCCTCCTGCGCTCTTTCCCTCTCTCTTCCTCCCTCCAGCATTTCATATTGGCCTTAAGCCTCTACCTCCTTAACCCTCAAGGCAAGTAGACTAGGGAGGTCCCTCTACCTCTGACCTTTTAGCTGAGAACAGGGCAAGAGCAATAGCCCAAGAAGCCCACTCATTGCATCCCTCTGGGGCATCTCTGGCCCCTGGCAGCCACCTACAACTTTCCAGAGCCAGAGGAGTCCCTCCCCCACACTCAAGCTGGTCACAGCTGCACTTAGGCCTCCAAAACCACAGAAGCCCCCCCCAACACTCCCTAGCTTACAGGTTTATGGCATTATGTTCCTCCCTACCTCTCCCTAAATCTATCCTTTAAGGGGATCTGCACATTCATCTCCCCCAGATTAGAATGTCCTACTTCCTGCTCACTTTTTCTCAATTTCACTCTATAAATGCTATTGAATGTTTTACCCAGATATACAGTTTAGGTTGTCATAATTTCTTTCTAAAACCAGGTTGAGTGAAGAGAGCGTTAAGTGCTTCACCTACCACCATCCTCCTTTATACTGGGGTTAGTTTGAATGGTCAAGATCATTGCTTTGAAAACCTTCCCTGTAACTCATCCTCTTTTTTTCCTTTCCCATCTTCTTCTGTTGCATAAACTTAAACTGTCTAAAATGTAATTTAACCAAAATAATGCAAAACTGATACTTTTTGTTTCATTTTGCATGACCTTGTTTTTTTTTTCCTTTATTCAAGAAATATGTATTGGCAGCACCCATAGCTCAGTGGGTAGGTCGCCGGCCACCAAGGTCGGCACACATACACTGAGGCTGGTGGGTTGGAACCTGGCCCAGGCCAGCTAAAACAACAATGACAACTGCAACAATAACAGCAACAAAAAAAGCAGGGCATTGTGGCGAGCGCCTGTAGTCCTAGCTACTTGGAAGGCTGAGGCAAGAGAATCGCTTAAGCCCGAGAGTTGGAGGTTGCTTCTGTGATAACCCTCATTTAAAATTATCAGTTTCACCCCTTCCTTTTTCCCATCATTCTCAGTTGCTAAGAGATGAAAATTACTCTTTTATCTTCTCAGCAGAAACTAGCCCTCCTTTCGCATTATGTCCTTCCTTCTTGAAGCTATGTTCCCTTGTTTCCATGCCACTTGTCTCATGGTTTCCTTCTCCCAGATCTTTTCGGTGCCTACTTCTCAGTCTCCTTTGCTGAAACTTCTTTCTCTACCTGATCCTTCCACAAAAGTGATAAAAATCAATGGTGATTTATCAAAATCTTATTATGTACCAGGCATCCAATGACAAGTCCTTTAAATATATTATTCGTATTTCGGGGGGAGGGGGTTTGCAGGGGTTTTTTTGGCTGGGGCCAGGTTTGAACCCACTACCTCTGGTATATGTGGCTGTTGCCCTACTCCTTTGAGCCACTGGCACCTCCCATATTATTAGTTTTTTAATCTTCACAGTAACTCTCTTTAGAAAGGTATTACTGGCTCGGCGCC